TACTGAGCTTGTCTAGCTCTGAAATATCATCTCTGCACCTTAACCAGGAGGGATATTAGAGTCCCAAACCGACTAACAAAAATCAGTCATAACCCAGGAGCAACCTCAGCAATACATGTCCGTGGCAGGTGAGGAGACTGAAAGCTTTCATTAGGTTTGTTTTCTCGGAGAACGAACTCAGCATTAAAAAACCCTCTCTAATCTGCATTAAAATACCTTCTCTCTTGTTTCAGCTCTGACCCAGACTACCAATGTCAAGTGTTTTGTTTTTCTGTGTGGTTGCTGGGGGTAGATTCTCCCCCAGTAGCTCTCCACAGGTAGGTGCCAATTAGAGATGTACTGGGGGGTTCAGATGTTTTGGTGCCTGAGCAGGGACTGCAGAGCAGGGATTATGAGCACTGACATTTGCTGTGCTGGAAAGTCCAAGGGACAAACGTGTGCCAATTACCATCATGCCTTTAACTAGGAGGATCAAGTCATGCTATGTTTGTACCAGAGTCTGGTGACAGAGGGGGGGTCTCCAAAGGGAATGTTTGTCCATGTAGAACCCGGTGATGCCTTTCCCCTCTGCTCCACATGGACAGTAATGAGTTAGCTCAGTTGGTATCAAAGCTGGAGGGTGGCAAATAACATCAGGGACTGAAAGGAGAGATGGTAGCATTAGACCCAGGTTTGTCTGTAAATGTACAAAATTAATAACAGCAGAGGGGCAGATAGTGGGACTCTTGCTCTGCTCTAACTGATGAATATTGTATTAATTTTTTTTCTGCTTTTCTGTCGTGCTGATGCAGGTTTTGCTGTTTGAAAGGGAGCTCAGTGCAGCATCAGTTGGCTTCTCCCTTTGTGAAATGTTGAGCACACAGAGTCCAGGCAGGCTGATGGTGTAAAGCAAAACCTGCAAATGGTCTAACGCAGCTAAACCCAATCAGAAGTAATTTCTGGTGAGTCAAGCCTGGTTTACATTCTTTTGAGTTTGGCAGTTTCAACTTCATCAGTCATTTACAAAAAAAACCAAACTCAAACAAACAAAACCCCAAACCAAAACAAACAAAACCATAAAACCCCAAACAAAAGCCCCCAACAAACAAACAGGCAAAAAAACCCCAAACAAAACCAAAGGGAATGAGGTGTTGGTATTAGTTATTAGTGGATATCACAGCAGGCAAATAGCTGTTTCCCACTGGATCACCATGAAAAGCCACATATTACAGCTGCTCAAAAATATACACAACAGGAGGAATATAAAAAGTGATACATGGCAACTCTGGGGGCAGCTGTGGCAGCTTTGCATTAAGGTGAAGGATGGGCATTTGGTGGTATGGATTCAGTCTATCCCATCCTCCAGGCTGCTGTTTGCTCCTGATGAAAGACCCTTGCATGACCTTGGCTCCTTTCAATGCAACATAAATCATTCCCACAGCTCTCTGTTGAGCTCTAGTCTTTCCAGAGCAGGATTCAGGGACAAAATGGAAGATCCTGAGCATCTTCACCCTCAGAACCAGAAAATAGCTCAAGTTCTCCCTAAATTGGGTCTTCACAGGAGGTTTTCAGTATCTCTGCAAGACTTTTTTGACCTCCAACACATGTGACTTCGTGCATGGTGATGCATTTGCGGAAGGAAAAAACATGTAAAAAAAATATGCAGGAGATGGTCATTAACTGAACCACAGGTTCAGGGCTCTTTTAATAATTGGCCATGTAGCGAATATTTGAAATTATATAAAAAGCTCTTAAGTGAGTGGGGGCTTTTATGCAATGGTTGGGGGGAAAAAAGAAGTACACTTCTTTTATAGGAGAGTTATTTTCACACACCAGTCTATCACACGTTCTTTGAGAAGGGAAAAACTTTACAAGGCATTTTAAAAATAATTTCATTGGCAGGTGAGAACATTAACAAACCAAAATGGCTTTTCACCATGCAGTAACCACTAGGCAATTAAGGTTTGTTTGTAGGCAGTCTAATGAAACCAGCAGTTAACGACCTCATGAGAAATTAACCCAGCCCACTTCTCCACAGAGACATCCCTTTTCTCTGCCGGTTTATCCTGCACCCAGTGCTTTCCAGCAAAGTTTAGTGATCAAGTAAAAACTGCCTTATTGTGTAGAAGTGATGCACTTTTCTGAGGTGGTGTTTCACACGTGATGCTTCAACACTGGGGTCACTTCCCGAAGTCTAATGTTTCTGCAGGAGCAGGGAGATGTCTGATAGCACAGCATGGGAGAATCTGATCAGAGGGATTTTGTTTTAGTGTTTCCCTTAGTGCCAGACAGCATTGGTTATTGATAAATCTTCAGATCAAGGATAAGATGTTGCTGTTTTGGCTCTAATCATACGTTGTTTTCAATATAGGTTTCTCAGTTAATATATTGTTTTTCTGTTTCTTTTGAGTGTCATTCCTGGTGACCTTTAAAGGTCCCTTCCAACCCAAAGTATTCTATGATTATTTTGATATATAATGAGTAGCAACATATATTTTACTCTCATTATGCACAGTATTACATGATGCCTAGCCTTTTTATGTTCTTTCTTCTCCAGGTCCTAATCCCTATTCTCACTCTTTTATGCTCTTAATTATTTCTGTTGCTTATCAGTGGACTTTTCAGTTCTGCCACCCACGTTTGGAGATGTCTGTGACTCACTGCACCAATGACATCAGGTCAGTCCGAAGATGAGCATTAGGATGTATTCAGCTGTATCTTCTCTTCCTCCCTCTGTTTATGCTGTTTTTGCTGCTGTTTTGTCACAAGCACTGTTGCTTTCTGAGCTCTCTCACATGGCTTGATCCACTTCTGGATAATCGGAGGGATATCAGGATTTAATCCCTTTTCTTCTCTACGGTCTGGCTTTTGAAGAACCCCAGTCATGCTCTCCTACTCATCTCATCCTGCTCTTGATGGAAATGTGAGGCCTTCATGGATCATTTTTCAACTTTGTGCATTCTGGCACTGCTTCCCAAGAGAGGTTTTTGAGCCTTTGAAGGGTTTTCTGGTGTGTTAATGACAATCCTAATGCTTGATGGGGGTTGCTGTTGTGAAACCTCCCGAAAAATGTTGCTTTTTGTTCCTTTCAGGTGACTGTTTTTATCAACAGATTAGGAGCTTTTGGGGTGTCTTTTCCAAGGAAATTTCAATGAATCTCTGTTTGGGGTTTCAAAGGGGAATGGTGTGTTTTTTCCACTAGCACCTGCTTACAATCCAACTAGCTAACTGCCTTTAATTATCCATAATTTATTTCAGGAGAACAGAATAACAACAGAACGAAATTAAGCAATGACAAATCTGTGACTAAACTTGGACTCACTCTTTCCCAGGTGCAGGATTCTGGACAGCCCTGTAACTCCTTGTTGTCCCCTTTGAGCTCTGCCATGAAGTGCCTTAAAATGCTTGGGGGAAAAAAAAAAAGAATTGAATCCCTCATCTCCAGGTTCATATGCCCCATAGGTATCTGGTTATGTGCTTTCCTTAAAAATGTGGTTAGATGAGGTGTGTGGGACTCATTTCTTCAGAAGGGCAGGAGAAACAACTGATGCTCCCCATGAAAGGCCTCTTTACCCAGCAGTCTGACACAGATTTGCTTCTGAAGAGCTTTATAATTTGTCCTTATTATGTTCTATGTGTGATTTAATGAAAGACTCTTCCTCTACTGTAATTGAGCTCTTAATCTTCTCTAAAAAGCAGAGCACAATCCCTTCAGAAATGGTGTTTGAGTAACAGGCTGATTGTGTTTCCTGCGCCTTCGTGTTGTTCACGGAGCCGTTCACTCTTTATTTAAGAGCAGAAAACAAACAGATTTCTTTCAGTCAAAAATACATCAGTGATGCCATACAGAGTAGGTTTGAGTAGCAAACTATCTCAGTGCCCAGCTGAGCAAGCAAGACCTTCCCTGGTTCTGCAAAGAGCATAAAGAAGTGAGTTTTCCTCAGTGAGCACCCGAGGCTTCATGCAGGTAATGCTCAGGAAATGGCACATAGGGATGGAAGCTGTCAGGAAAACTATTTGCTCTGGACAGGTAAAGGTTGGCAGGAGATAAAAGCGGAAACTCAAAATACCAGGATGCTGAAAAAACTGTAAGAGAAAAATTACTTCAGTGAAAATCTTTCCATCTTAAACCTTCAAAAAAACCCCACTTTTACAAAAATCTACAAAAATGTCCTGCTTTTGATCAGTCTTGGTCTTCCTAAATAGCATTTCAGAATCAAAATTATGAGGTAAGAGAGTTTAAAGAAAGCTTAGCTCAGGGTTTTTCATTGTGACCTTAGCAGATCTTTTTTTTTTTTTTTTTTTTTTTTACTGTTTTGTAGGTCAGAGAGAGGCCACAAACCTCCACTGCAGGATGGTGAGACTGTTGATCTAAACACTCCCCAAACCTACTGCTGAACTGACTTGGAACCACAATCTGGAGGGGACTATGTGAAGCACTTAACACTAGAAAATGCTTGAAGCTTGATGGTGATCCACAGCTCCCGGTTCAAAACCACAAGCAATGCCAGTGGTGACGAGCTCACTGCCTGCTGTGTGCAGAACTGATGGTCCTGAGCAGCAGGGCTGTGGAATGAACGGGCTGATGGCTTTTTGGGGCACTCAGAACCTTCCATCTTTGCTGCTTTGCCCACACTAGAGAGCGCATTTTACCAGAGCAATACCTGGAGAGCGGGAAGGATGAACAAGCCTGCCCTGCCACTGACTGTCAGTGGATATTGGGCTTGTTACAAGCATTCAAGTTACATCTTGTACAAGCCCATGCTGTCAATCCACAGGATTCCAGGCTGAGCTCAGATCAGCTCTGTCACTTACCCAGATGAGTGAGGACCAGACTCTGCATCACATTTCCACAGCTGGAGACGAGTGGGTCGAATCCCTCCTGTCGACAAGATGAGGAATGTGTCATGTCTTGTCTTGCCATGTACAGCAGATATCCTGATTTAAAACAATGCTGTCTTCCCAGATTCCACTTCTTCCTGTGCCTCCTTGCATGTGAGAGGACCCATCCATCTTAATCCTGTCACTTTTTCTCTCCCACCCCTACTTCCCTTTTCTACTAATCCACCCATCCCTGTGAGGATCTCCATTACTGGAGTAATTGGCACTATTAGATCAGCCTTTGATGAGATGAGTGGTGGATTTTTGTAGTCAACATGTCAATTTAAAGTGCTACAAATGAGAGATCAATTCCTTCTTTCCTGGAGAAGAAATTAAGGAAAAACCTTTTCATGTTACAGAGTGTACAAAGCTGAAGAGGTTGAAGGTGGAGATGAGGTTGTCTCCTGAGAGGAGTAAATTTTTCAATTTAGCAAATTAGAGAGGATATGCTTTCACCTTTGAAGTAGTCAGGTACCAAAATTATGCCACTTGGAGTAGGCAGGCCTGGGGTGGGAATCGCTTACATGGATTTTGACAGATCTATTCACACAAGAGCCCATTTGCTAATGCCAACTCCCAAAGCAGGGCCTGGAGAGAAGGCTGGTCAAGGACAATTCCGCTGCCTGATTTTACAGCGTGTTGCTACAAGGCTGTTTGACAGTGCTTTCCATTCCCTTTGCATCCCTGTGGATGGTGTCCTTGGTGAGACCATCCTGCCACACACTTACTGCCTGCACGGTGACACCAGGGTGGCTTTGCTCGATGCACCTGTTCCTGCAAGGGCTCTGTCCCCTTTCACTCAAAGAGGGAATTTAATAAATTATTCAGCAGCATCAAAGGCCCTGTGAGAAATAATGAGTGCTGTGGCAATGTAAGGTAAAATCTGAGGATTTCATGTTATTTGGCAGAGGATCAGGTGCTGCTGTGGAAGCTCTGATCCAGAGTGCAGCACCCCAAGACATTGTGGAGAGGGATGAGATATCCCCTGCGGCACCTTGGTCCCAGCTGGCATAGCTTCTTGTCCAAAATCAACCCTGACCTCATTCCTTCTGAAGAACTGCTCTTTGTGCTTTCTGCCAGAAACAGGGCAAAAACTGGGAGTGGGAACCAACAGAGGAATGCTGAGGGCAAGAGCTCTGTTCCCCAGGGATGCCGTGGAGAGGGCTGGAGGCAGCAGCACCATGCATGTGCTCATGGGTGCTCACGCAGTGTGTGCCACCCAGTGAGTCCCTTCTGCAACTGCTAACGTGCTCCTGACTGTATTTAATGAATTAGCAACATGATGAGAATCCGGAACTGGGGTTGTGCTGGTGGAGTAGCAGGAAACAACATGTTCTCTTGGCTCTGGGGCTCCTCTGACAGTACCTGCGGCTGCGCTCGCCAAGGTAACGGGGGCAGTGACTCAGAGGATGAGCAGGAGCATCTGGCAGCACAGTGCTGGCTCCATGGAGGCTGAGCACTCGGATTTGGTGCTCCCAAGCACAGATCTCGTGTCCCTGCAACACCTTTCCATCCAGGAATGAGGTGGAAAAGGGTGGTGAGTGCCCAGGGGTGCGGATCCAAGAGGTGATTGATGAGATGAATTTTCCACATCAGCCCTTTCTTGCTGTGTTATTTCCTCCTCTTGTAAGATGATGTGCTGGGATGTTTTTTTTTCTTTTCTGCTTTTTCACTTTCACTCTGGAAATCTGAACCTCAAAAATGCATTTTTGAGTTTTAGTTTTTTTTTTTTAAATTGCATTGACCTGTACATCAGAAGCATCTCTTTCACTGGGGTTTGTTAATGTGTGGAACATTGAGGTTTTTCCTGTTTTTTGGCCCTGATTTTGTGACTAGGCAGGCGTGTGCTTTATTTTAAAAGTATGGTCAGTCTTGTCACTTTCTCAGGAGCTGCTCATATACCTGAGGTTAAGCAGGTTTCTGTTGCCCAGCTACCTACAGCTGTAATTTTAATTTAGAATAATTTCTTCCTTTTCAGTCTCATGCGAATGATCTATTCTTTAATTTCTGGTACTTCCTTAGTTGAGTTAATTCCTGCTAGTCCCCTTCATGTCCTTTTGAATACTAGAAAGAGGCTAAAGTTAAATACTTGAAAGCATCAGTAAAAGGTTTGGGGATATTTAAAAGCAATCGTGTTTTATAGCACTACCCTCCCTCAAAGTTCCTGCCATTTTTGGGGTGATTTTTTCCCCCTCTTTTTTTTTTTTTTTTTTTTTTTTTTCTCGCTAACTGTGCTTCTGCTATCTCACTGCCAAGAGTACAAAGGAGCCCCAAGAAATCAGCCTGCCAAGCAGATAAAGAAACAGATGTTGTAGAGTGCAAAGGTCAAATAAATACAGACAGCCTGGAAAAAAGGCTTTGCAAAACAGTGGGAAGTTGATTAGGTGAAAAGGAAGGGGTTTGGGAATGGAATTACACAAGGGAAATCTTTTTCTGGAGAGAAATAAAATACCTTAGTCTCTAAAAAATATCTTAGTCAATTCAGGGCAATAATAGAGAAGGAATAATAAGTTACATTAGGTAAATGTGAAGCCCTGCCAGCCAGTGCACTCTGCAGGAGCCCACGCAGCCTCTGCAGCCCTGCAAAGCTCTGCCTGGTGCATTTAGACTCTCATTTTCTCATTGTTTTCTGGCCTCTGTCACACGGGGAATAACAGGGAAAAGCTCCAATCTAGGAAAGCATTTAACCAGCTGTGGTAGTTAGGACTTGTATGTACCAGTCTTGCTGGCTGCTGCCCCTGACTGTGGCTTTACTCCCCATTTCTGAGTAATTTAGATAATTTCTATCTTATTAGAAAAGAAACATTCTTTAATTAAAATGCAGTTAATTCCTGCCTCATTAGCCTGGGTTGTATTTCACTGTTCCCTGTATCACAGGCAGAGATGGGACTTGTACTTGTTTCATTACAAATGCAGAATGTCACCGGGTGGTCGCTCTCGGGTACAGACAGTGACTTACGCTACAGGTTTGTCACCACTAACTGCAAAACTGTCACCCAGATCCATCCTAATGACTCCATCAACCAACCTGCCATCCCAGAAGGGACTGGTGACTAAGGGGCAGCACTAAGTGCCTGAGTCTCTCTGTCCACCATGTGCCCTGGCAACACTGATCCCTCCCAGCGCTGCCCAGACCCTTCTCCCCACAGCGTGGGAGGAATGCAGAGCTGGTCTCAGGTCTGCTCCCACTGAACCACAGCACTTGAGGGTTCCCGTGTCATTTCATGATGTTGATAAAACTTAGCGAGCCATGCAGCTCAATTATTGAACTGTGGCTGCGTTCTGAAATGGTGAAGTGCGTGAGAAGGATGTGGAGCTGCTGGAGGGAGCCCAGAAGAGGCCACAAAGATGCTCTAGGGACTGGAACACCTCTGCTACATGGACAGGCTGAGAGAGCTGGGGTTATCCAGCCTGGAGAAGGGAAGAACCTGAGGAGACCTTAGAGCCCTTCCAGTACCTAAGTGGGCTCCAGGAGAGCTGTAGAGGGACTTTGGACAAGGATCTGGAGTGAGAGGATGAGGGGGAAATGGCTTCAGTCTGACAGATGACAGGGATAGATTTGGTACTGGGAAGAAATTCTTCTCTGTGAGGGTAGTGAGGCCCTGGCACAGGTTGCTCAGGGAAGCTGTGGCTGCCCCTGGATCCCTGGAAGTGTTCAAGGCCAGGTTGGACAGGGCTTGGAGCAGGCTGGTCTAGTGGAAGGTGTCTCTGCAGGGGAGTGGAATGAGATGGTCTTGAACATCCTTCCTAGTCCAAACCATTCTAGAATTCTACAGGCTGCTGAACTCAGCCAAAGGAAGAGCAACATTGCAGAGGTTAATGAAAAGGGAGACTAAAACCACCTGTGTTTGCTAATTAAATCCCTTCACACATCAATTAAGATTGTTCTGATAAAGACCAGGCAGCACTCAAACAGATGCTGAACAGGGTTCATCTGGTGTATCTCTGGGTAAGATCACAAAGGAGCTATTGTTGCTCATTAGTCAGGGCTGAAATCTAAATCTCAGCAAGTGCAGCTTGCAGGGTGATGTGTGCTGGCACCGGGGCCCCAGTGTGGGACTTGTTTTCAAAGAATCAGGAAATGCAGAAGAGAGGTTCCTGAAAACGGTCGGAACTGAGGCATCTGGCCAGGGATTTCATATTCACAACCGGGAGGGAAATCTAATCAGGACTCGCTAATTTTCATGAAGTCAAACACCTGGGATTCACTTCAGACTCGCATTTTCCTGGAATAATTCAACACAAACACTGTATATTTATACATGGGCACTTGACTTTTCTGTTGTTTGATGAGACTACAATTTGTCTTCCTCTTGTGGTTCCTGCAATCCTTCCTCTCCTGCGGTTTCCAGTCAAATTACCCACCTCTACCCCAGGACTGTTCATCTGTTATGCTTTGGATATTGTTGGTTCTTCAAATGAAAGCAGACAATGCTTGTTTAAGCCAGCCCAAGATTTTATTTGAACCAGGTTCTGCATCAATCCAGAATCCAATCTCATCTCCACCGTTGTTTTTCCTCTATTATTTTTCCACTTTTCATTGCTTTTCCATTTCTTCTTCCTATGCAGTTTTCATTCTTCAGCAACATTGTTCAAAACTATGTAGAAGTCAAATGCTTCTGCTTTTATATTCATATCTGCTGTTTTACCTAATCTCAGCTAATTCTCTATTTAACATCTAGTTTTACCTGGGCTGACAGGTGTATTTTTAAGCTGTAAATACCACAAATAAGACATACAGAAATTTTCTTACCCTGTGTCCTTTTCTAATGTGTCACTGAACATCTGAATTGTCCCTTTCTTCCAACAGCTTCTAGTGCTGGTTTTGGCTAAGATAAAGCGGGCAGTGCTGTTTGGATTCACTGCCTAGCTGTATTTCCATCTCATTCAGTGGCTGGGGTAGGATGGCTAATTGGGCAGGCAGCTTGTGCAGGCAGCTCTGGAGAAACAGAGAGGGAAAGCAGAGCTGTGCATGGCCAGCTTGATGCCTGTGCCAGTGTGAGCACCAGGCCAGCTGGGACACTGAGTCAAGGAGCTTTTTGTAGATCCACAGAATCATTTAGGTTGGAACAGCCCTCTAAGATCATCGAGCCCAGCTGCTCCCCCAGCAGTGCCAAGCCCACCACTAACCCATGTCCCCATGTGCCACATCTACATGTCTTTTAAATCCCTCCAGGGATGGTGACTCCACCACTGCTCCGGGCAGCCCACGCCAGGGACCGACAACCCTTTGGATGAAGAAATTTTCCTCATATCCAATCTAAGCCTCACTTGGTGCAACTTGAGGCCATTTTCTTTTGTCCTGTTGCTTGTTTCCTGGGAGAAGAGACTGTTTGACTGTTTACACACACACATTCAGGGACAGATGGGCAAATGGCTTGGGAAGTCCCTGTGATTTGTGGTACAGAAACTCCTGTGGATGGTCCTTTTTGTTACACAGTAGGTAAAAACTGGAGCAGCTGAGATGTATCTTAACCAGGGAGAGATCTGAAGGCAGGGGGGAAAAAAGATGTTTTGAAATGGAGTAAAACTTGCTGCCAGGTTTTCCTCTGAGAGCAAGTCCAATTTCTTTCTCTCTTTTTTTTTTTTTTTTCCTTTTGGTGCTGTGCTATTCCTCTGTGGGCAGGAGGCTGCAGGCATTTCAATTCTCTTCTTCAAGTCCTTGTTTCAAAAAGGGCCCAAAATATGTTCTCTTCTAAGAGGCAGTAAACAGCAAGTGCACAATGCGGCTTCTCTAAGCCTCTCTTCTCCTGTCTCAGGGAGAAAGGAATTCACCAAGCCCTAGAGCCTGACTCACTCGCTGTGTGAGCATGAATTAACCAGGAATGTTCGAGAATTATTCCTGAATAATTCATGAACCTGAATTAATCATGCATTTTCATGAATTATTCATGAATAACTCATGGAAATGCAAGGTTTATTCATGCTCCAAAAAACCCAAGGCTTTTTCTCTTCTATTCTGCTCTCTCTCCCTGTAAGAAACAGACCTGAAACAAGCTAAGGAAAAAAATAATGTATGTATATGGAAAAATAACAGGAATAATAATACTGAAACAAAACAACCAGGAAAAAAAGAAAACCAAAGCTCTCCTTTTCTTTGCAGTGAGGACAGCAGGTGGGAGCTTTCCAAGCCAGACAAAGGAGACCTGACAAGGAACTGTGGTGAAGGGACAAGCCCAAGGCAAAGAAGTGTCTGGTCACCACCTCTCCCGGAACAGGCAGCTGAGACCTGGAGAGACAGGAGACATCTTGCAAGACTCAACACCTGGAGCAGTGCTAACCAGGCAAGGAGCAGCTCTGTTGCTATCAGGATTTTGATCTCTTTCTTTCTCTGTGTGTTTGTGTAGTTTTGCTGCCTTCATTAGGGTAAATGAACAACTGGTTAGTGGGGAAGGAGGGAGCAGCAGCAGCTATGAAGATCAGTGTTTAAAGATCATTCTTTAAATGTTAAAGCAAAACCCCTCTAGAGAGCTTTTTGGGCAGGGGTTTTTGCTGTTTGGAATGTGGAGCCGTGTTTCTGGGAGGGAGAAGGCTGAGTTATGCATTTATCTCAGTTTCTGGTCTGTAGCCTTCCCTGTGTTCGGAGAGGGCTGGGGGCAGGCTCCTGCTGCAGGGAAGGGGATGTGGGGAGACAGGCAGTTACCACCCGGATAATTTATGTATGGTGCTACCTGATAAAAATAAATGTCACTGTGTCTCTGCCAGAAGGGGGTTGGAGAGAACCAGGTGTGAGACTGTACCAGCAGGGCAGGCTGGCAGGTTTGGGGAGAGTTATGGTTGCTGCAAGGAGCTTTTCTGTAGCTGATGATGGTGGAGGGGGGGAAGGAGAAAGTTCTCCAGGGTGAACTTGAACCTTCCAAGTGAGGGGAATCACATTCAGGCTTGACTTTAATGTGGATGTGGAGGTAAAACAAGAAATTGCAATACATTGGCTCCTAGCTGCCCTTCCTGTCACCTTGTCCCTGCTCCACCTCTCCTCTCCCTGCCCCAGCTCCCTCCCATCAGCTTTGGACACCGTGGCCATTCTCCACGCTGTGCCCAGCACACAAGCTCAGCTCCTGCCCCCAGAACCCTTCTGCCAAATCCTGCTGCCAAGCAGAGCAGGCAGGACTGGGGTGACGCTCTGCCAGGGCCCTCAGGAGCTCTGGCAGGTGATCTCTGCTTGATTTTGTCCCCATCCATGGTTGAAAGGTGCAAAGAAACCCCTCCTGAGCTCAGCAGCCTTTGTCTCCTTAGCTGCTCCTCTGGCGCAGGAGGTTTTGGAAGTCACCATCAGCCTGGCTGCTGTTCGATTGCTGAGCACTCTGTTTTCTCCAGGGCTTTAGGTCTGCAGATCCAGGAGGGGAAAGAGGGTATCTCAGTGGGCAGAGAAGTGGCCAGGACCCAGGATCCAGCTATTTACAGCTTTCCTACTTGACTGCCTTAGATATATCTGTCACTGGTCTGTGCCTTAGTTTCCCCACGTGTGAAATGAAGGGAATTTGCTGTTCCCCTTATCAAAGCACTTTGATGTTTACTGGGGAAAATAACTGCACAGGCAAAGCAATGATCATTTCCTGGAATACTCCTGAGTCTTTTTGAGTCTCTTCTCTGTACTGCCTTGATATCATACAGATACAGCTCTGCACTGTAGCAAATTGCTGTAGAACCACTGAAGCCATTTGAGCTGTGATGGTTCACACGGGCAGAGGAACCAGCCTGTGTCTGCTCAGTGGCTCATCCAGCATCTGCCCAAGGTGTCCTGTGTGAGAGCTGGTCTTGCCTGACCCCAGGTGAGACATATCATGGCTGTCCCTGCAGTTCCAATTCAAATTGAACTTAGATACACTGAAGGCATGTGGGGCTGTGCTCAGTCAGAGCCAGGGCATCCTTCCAGCCAAGGGGTTTAGGATGAGGCAAGCACAGAAGGGCAGGAATGGGAAAGGAGAAATAATTAGTAAAGATAGAGGGAGAAGTATTTTCTACCTGCAGGCTGCACTGCCCCAGGCAGAGCGTTGTTTGCCAACACTTCCAACCATGGGAGAGCCCGGAGCTGTGCCATAACATTCCCCTGCTGTTCCCCCTGCTGCAGGTGGGCAGCCCTGATGTCAGCCAAGCTCTACGTCCTCATCAGCTGGCCCGACGGCAGCCGGGTGATCAACATGGAGAACATCAAGGAGCCCCGCAAGCCCTTCCACCTCTACACGGTGGGTGAGCAGGTGCTGGCCCGCTGCCCCGGCTTCAGTGGGCTCTACTGGGGCATGGTGGAAGGCATAAGTGGTGAGTGACACCCCACTGCCCTGGGCTTTGCAATTTGGGGCTGCTCGGGACCGACCTGTCGAGAGGGAGCGCTGAAAAATCCTCTCTTCCCACAGAGCACAAGGATATTTTAGAGAAGAAGCTGCTGGAAGACAGGCAGCTCCTGGAGAAGTTAAGTGAGTAAGGTCTTTTGGGGGGTTGCACCCTTCTAATTCCGTGGGGATTTTGGGGTGGGAGGATGCTGAGCACATTGTAGTCCCATCATAAATTTCACATCACGGCAATCAGGGTAAAAAGCACTGGGAGGGAGGTGGGAGATACACAAAACTGATGCCCCATTGCACTTCTTGAGTACCCTCCTTCCTTTCAGAAGCAGAACCGGCTGTCCACAGCATGATGCCATCCCCACCAAAAAAATCCAGGAAAACCTTCCCAAAATGGACCCCAGGGAATGCATCCAGGAAATATCATGGTGACAGGGCCTACCCTGCAAAGCCACTGCTGAGGGCAGGTGAGGACAGCCTGCCCCATGACGCTGGCAGCTCCTCCATCCTCAAGGAGAGACGTGTCCTGGGCACTGCAGCAGGAAGCCCCTGCTCACTGGCAGGTCCTCCCCACCCAGCCAGTGCCTTCACTCCTCCATCCACCTTCATCACCATGGCCATGCCGGGGCCAGGGACTTCCCAGGGTGAAGAGGAGAGGGCTGGTCCAGCTACCAGAGGTAACCTTGGGTTCTTGCTCTCCTGCCTGGTCCTGAGCGGCACGGTGGGATGGGGACCTGCAGAGCAGCCAGGAGACCTCTGCTTTGCTCTGGGGCTGTGTGTGCTTTCTCTCAGGGCTACAAAGGTTAGAGATTAAATTTTGTGGTCCTTTTCACCTGGGAGATCTCCTCCAGGAAGGCTGTCTAAAGGGAGATACCTCTGTGATGGTGTGTGGTATCTGCTCTATCAGCCATCAGCTCTGTCTCCTGGGGTAGCAGTTCTCTCCCCACAAGCCAAAAGGCAATGTAGCCTGCCTGAACAACTGTCAAACACCCAAAAGCCTTGTGTCTCAATTAGTCAAACCTTTCCAGATTTGCCTATTTCCCTGTTTTTCCACTCACCACTACACATGTTAAATGTACTTATAAAAATATGTTAGCGTGTTATTTACCTGCTGACTGACAGCAGTGCCCAGAGACATGTTGGCTCTGCTTACCTTGCCCATGGCTTCTTTTGTGATGAGAACAGGAGAAGCCCTTGAGATACGACCTTTTTCTAATTACAAAATCCCAATTGATCAATCCTGGAAAACATGTCTGGATCACTCTGTTTGTGCAAAGGGAATAATCTGTTGCCATGCAATCTAGCTGGAGTGCTTAGATACTCTGTTCTGGAGACAGAGGGATTCAGGACCTTCTCAACAGCTGATTTTTCAGCTTGTCTCCCATCCCTGCTGCAGATTATGTTGCCTTGCCAATGAAGAGGAAGTCAGATGGCATCTTTTCCCAGTGCCAGCAACACATCTGTCTGAACAGGTAACACCTGAAAGAGCAGTGAGGACCCTGAATGTTTCACACCATATACATTGATTTCATAGCATGGGGTCTGTCCACTCTGTTTCCATTCCCTGGTGGTGCTTGATTTGAGTAGATGTCAATGGAGGCTTAAACCCAAAGCACAAAAGGTAACAGGAGTCTGTGTGGGTAAATACAGCAGAGCAATTGAGTCCCTTTTGCTCTGGAGTCCTGGTTCCTTGGGGGAGGTCAGTGGGTGGTCCTCCACATCTGTATGAGAGGGGTTGCACAGGACATTGTCCATGGGAAAAACTTCTGATATTCCCTCTCAATCCATTTTATTCTTGCTGCAAATGAAAAAAGAAGTGACTTTGCTTTAAATTACAGCCTTTGAATCACAGATAATTCTCATCAGGTATGAATATGAATATGAGCATGAAGCTGTGGCAGTGCTGTTTAACTTGCTTGTTTCTTCCAGCCGTGAAGAGCAAAAGATTGACACTTTGCAAGAGATGGATGACTTCGAGAGGGTTCAAAAAAGTTTCAGTCCTGGTGAGATGGAAAGGTAATTAGCAAAAGAAGGCACTTGTTCTTAACTGTGTTTTCTTCCTCACTACAAGAGTGAGCAGTGAGATAACAGCTGTGTGACAAAGTGGTGCAATTTAAGAACCAAAAGTTGCTGTCTCTTTATAATCAGAGCCAGGTGTTTCTGACTGTAGGGCTTGGAGTTAGAGATGCAAGAAGGCTCTAAAACAGTGCAGAAACCACAAAGCTCTTTCCTATAACAATCAAAATGACACCTACCATCTTTGAACATGGTTGTGTGTTCCTTGTTTTATTGTTCATTACTTTGATGACAAGTATCCAGTTATAAAGGGATGCTAGGGGACAGTTTTCTTGCAAAGAAATGTGTGCCAAAAAGATTCACGTTACGGTTTTTGCATTGCAATTTCCCACATTTCTGTTGTTTAATACCACAAATATGTGCCTCCTGGGACTTGCAGGATAAGGCTTACGTTTTTCCTTAGAGTTGAGAAGAAAATTGAGCATCAAAATCTCCATATCTGCATGACAAGGGGGAGCTGAGAGTTAAACTGAACATTTCTGAGTTACTGAAAAGTCCAGACCACGTAATTCTTCTCTCCTGCCTTACTGCTCACCCAGGCATAGTTGGATGGGCTGATACTCTGTCAGAGAAGTTGTCCTGGCCTTTCCTGCAGGAAGTGTGTAATCACTGCTTGGGTGGAGATGCTACATCCCTTGGCAATATCCACGGTGAGACCGTGGCGCCTTCTTGCCTTTACACATTCAAGTTTAATTTTTCAGGGTGGAGAAGATAGAGCAGCTGGAGAAGATGGTGTTTGACCTCCAACAGGATGTCCTCTCTCTGAGGAAGAAGGTGCAGAGGCTGGAATCCCTGTCCTTCCAGGAGGAGCCCCACCGGCAGCCGTGCGAGGTGGTGGAGCTCTTCAACGGCTACACCAAGGAACAGCTCAAAGAAACCATCAGGTTTGACCAGAAAATCAGCACAGCCTGCAAGACACTGCTCTACAAGCTCTTCACCTCTGACTACATCCAGAGCCACTCCATCACGGGGCGGAGGGGCAACACCTTCCGGGAGGCAAAGCCCATGATGGACGAACGCTGCATCAAAATCATCAGGGTGCTGTTGAAGCAGAAGTTTGGAGATCACCTCAGTGACACCGTGATCACAGAGAAGATACAAAATGTGCAGAAAGCCCTGAGGCAGAAGTTTAAGACAGAATGTCTCTGAGACATGGGGGGTACTTGGTGTCTCCTCCTGCCATTCTCGTGTGTGCACCTGAGCAGCCCTCCCGGGAAAAGATGAGTCCAATCTGCTGCTGTCCAGTTGATTTCCCCCAAGGAGCCAATCCAAGGGAACCGTGTGCTAAACACAGCTCAAACCTTTCACTGCCAAACCTCTGCCCGCGTTGATTGAGCAGGAATTCTGCCCAGCTTGGCCGAGTTTTTGCACATCTGCTAGCACTCTACAGGTTCCTTCCTACCCAGTCTGTGTGTGAACCTCACTGTGGGTGCATGTAATTGTCTCTATGACTTTTTGATGATGTGCTCAGAGGCTGAGGGCTCCCACTGGGTCCAGGTATGGGTCAGTAAGTCAGCTGTGTTTAACCTTGCAGTGGGTTAGGGAGAAATGTTGGCTCTGGGATAGGGAGTCCAGCTGTGGACGTATGGTGTGTCACCTAACAGGGCTTCTCTCTGCATGATTCTGGTGTCCTCCTTCTGCCTGTGGGACAATATTTTTCTCTTTGCTCCCAGTGAATGTGTTTTACAATTTCCTGCAGTAACAGAACAGCAGACTCATAAACAGCACCATAAAACTTTCAGAGAAAGATAATTTCATTTTTTTCCCCACTATTTTAATGTAGCTGTATGGAAGACTTGTTTTCACTTACAAAAACCTCCTGAAAAATAGAAGTGGCCACCCGTGGAAATTACTTTGCATTAATTTTCCTTTCAAGACCAGATTATTTCCATGGAGAAATCCTGTGCATTTTCATGACACAAGAGTGAGGGATGAAGGACAAAATATGGCCCACTGTAGTTACATCTTTACTTCAAAGATCAGACATGCTATGGACACAGTTACCATAATTTAAATACAGTATTTATATCCTAGTTAAGAAATGCCAAGTACAACCAGAGAGTTTGCTGAGAGACTATAGAGAAGGGCTAGAAAGACACATCTTTTCCTAAATAGTTCAGAGCTGGAGTTCGGATGTCTTAAAATTGTTTTTAATATTAAAAGAATAAGATGCTGACACCAGTCCACTTAACAGAAGTGCTGCAAAATGCCAAACATTCTCTTTTACAAAGGCTTCTCGAACCAGAAATTGGTTTTCTAAGCTTAACTTTTAAATTATTCAGGAAAAGAAGTGTCAGTGGTTTTGCATTAATCAAAACATTTGGTTTAATTTATATGTTTTGTTGTGTTTTCAAGTATTTAATTTCTTCAGAGTTACATGAGAAATAATAAGACAAAATAAATGTATTGGAAAAACAAGGAGCTGTTTTGAAAGGGAAAAAAAAAAGAAACGTGTTATTTTCCGAATTTTCCTCCCCCCTCTGCCTTTTTTCTACTTGAAAAACAGAATCATTAAAGTAGGGCTAATGCTATGAAGCATTTTGATTTTGGAGGGAGATATGCTTGGCAATGTTTCTGGCACTATTTTCATCAGATGTTTCTAACAGTCACGTTAAATTGGTGTAGATAACAACTGAAGATATTCCTTCTGTTTTCCCAGTGCAATGTTTTTCCTAACTCTCTGTTATGCAAACATACTGGTGATGATTTCTCCTTTGCAAGGACCTTGACTCCAGCAGCAGCTGGAGCAGGTCTGTTGTGATCACTTAGAGCCGAGAGTGCAGCCAGTCCTTGAAAAGACACCCAACCTGAGCAGAACTGCCCCCAAACCTCCTCAGTGCAGAAACACACCCTGGAATCCAGCAGCCTTGCTGGAAGCATCTTACCTTCCCACCACAGGGAAGGCCTTAGGCTGGTATCACTGCTCAGGGAATGTATCACTGGTATAACTGCCCCAGGTGATGTTTCTAATGTTGACTTACCAAAGAGAAGATTGAGGAGGCACAAACAACCTTATCCTGCAGAACCTTAAAGACCATCTCATTCCAACTCCCTGCCATGGGCAGGGACACCTTCCACCGGACCAGGTTGCTCCAAGTCCCATCCAACCTGGCCTTGAACACTTCCAGGGATCCAGGGGCAGCCACAGCTTCTCTGGGCAATCTGTGCCCGTGTGCCTCTCTCAGTCTTCCCTCCTGATGCCTCATCAGATCCCTCGCCAAGCTGCAACCTTGAAAGCCAGCTCAAAAATGTTATTTATTAAAACAAGTGCTGTTGCTGTCCTCCCCTGCTGAGCCCCCTCTGATGAGCTGCAGATCATTACTGCAAGAGGAGGGAGAGAAAACCCCAAGAGAACGGACTTGATGTGGGGTGCGATGGCTCCCGAAACAAGTCGTCTCTAATCAGCTCCCCTGGAAGCAGATGAGCTGGGTGACCTTTCTGCTTGAAAGACCCTTTGGTGGCTCCCTCAGAGGTGACCTAACAGCCTAAAACACTTGCTGATATTCAGCGAGTGCTCCTGGTAAGTGGGCTGATGGATGCTCCCCGGCTCTGTGCGCAGCACTGCCGCAGCACTAATGAGTCGATGCTCAAATGGGCCCCTCTCGGATATAAAAGTTGTCCTCAGCTGCTCTCAAAAGCTTTGATACAGCAGAGAGGGTTGGAGAAAGGCAACGCAGGCGGCTTTTCGTTAAACTTAATTTTTAAGGTGTTTGTGGGCCGGAGGCAGCGTTTCCAGGCTAATTGGGAGCCCTCGCAGACATCAGCGATCAGATTCGAGATGTCACCGCGAGGATGCCAATGCTCTCACCTCTCTGAACTCTCCTGCTCTGGCTAATCAGCCTCAAGAGGGGGATCATACAGCACTGAGATGTGGCATCCCCTCAGGGATGAAGGGGTCAGGGCAGATAGAGGAGGAGGAGGGGCATTTATGCCAGAACCACTTCACTTGGGGGTGTTGAAAGCCCATCTCTCTCTAAGTGATGAAGGGCAGCTCTATTGAATCCCATTAACCTCCCACTTTACGTGAATTACTAGAGAAAACTGTACAGGTCTCTCTGTTGAGATTAATTACTCTGCTGAATCCTCAGCATCTTGTTAAAAATGATACTCTCTGTTCAGCTTGTGGGCTGTCTGGGTGCAGGAGGACAGGGACAGTGAAAATAAAGGTAAAACCCCAGCGGTGTCTTCAAGGACTTTTTGCATTTTAAAAGGAAGCAGAGAGGGGACTTGTCAACTTTTGCAAATATAGGACAGGCATGGAACATCCAGTCCTCCCTCCCTCCAGCAGGAACCAGAGCAGCAGTTCTGTTCTCAGGGCTTTACATGATTCAACCAGGGTGTGCAGCAACTGAGCAGGGACCTTACAGGACTCTGGGGCTCTCTGAGGGCCCTTGGTCCCCGCCCCCAGCACCTCAAAACACTGCAATGGGGCACTGCCACCCACCACCCACCACCTGGTTACACCTCTTTTGTTTCCTTAGGAGCTGGCTGAAAGCTGTGTGTTACTCACTGGCAGCAATACATGGGATTTCAGGGAAAGATGGAGCCTTCACCATTTATTTCAAATTAATTTCCTTGACTCTTCCAGGGGGATTCCATGTCCAGTACAGGCAGATTTTAATTTTCCCATTATGTGGCTTGTAGGAAACACTCACCACTGAGTCTCTCAATGTCTGCACTGCGTGCATCCCCTAGAAACCATAACACACCCATTCAGTGACATGCAAACCACGAGTATCAGATAAAGGAAAAATGTTAAAATGGAACTAAATCCCTTCTTGGATCTTAATCAAGGCTTACAAAGCCTGGCTGCCTTTACATGAGCCCCAGACAGCCATTGCTGAGTCTGCCTGATGCTCTGAGCTGGCTGAATGCAGTTGGAAAAAATCATCTGACAGAGAATGAATGGAACAGCAGATTGTGGAAGTGTCCTGTGCTCGTGTCTTTGTCTTGGCTTGAGATCCTCCATCAGGCAGCTGAGGGACACAGAGAGACCTCAGCTGGGGGGGTCAATGAAATACCAGAACAAGCCTTGACCTGTAGGAGCTTGAAGCTGTGTGACATCTCCACAGTGTCACAAGAAGATTTTTTTTGTTTTTGGTTCCGGTAAGTCTTTATCTTATTTGGCTTCAAAAAGACAGTGAAAGAGGAAAAAAAAAGCACACAGAGATGTGTGTATTGTATTTGCATTTCTGGAATATTTTTTGATAAAAGTAATTTTTTGTACCGTTTTACATTTTTCTTGAAAGCATACCCGCATATTTTTTTTTTAAGAGTGCACACACACGCCTGGTAGGTGTGCAAATATATCAGATTTTATACTTTAAGCAATCTTTTATGTCTCTGCTTCAGTCACATATTCATTACACTTCATTTTTACCACTATTCCTCTGTCTGCAGTACATGATTGCATTATTCCACCTCATATCTCTCTATCTCCCCCATCTTTTCAGAGTTGAATGGAACTGGGGAGATCATTATTAAAACACAGAAAGTACAGAAATAAAATTAACCAGAGCATCAGTTCTCTGTGTGATGAATACACTGAGGAAATAAAAGGGCCTTCGGCTTCTAATAAAATCTGGATAGGAATTGCCTCATAAAAGCTTAAATGAATTATATTCAGAGACCAAAATGAGAGAAGAGAGAGAGCTCAGAGCCCTCTGACAGCAGGATTGCTGCTCTCCTGGCCTTGGTGTGCAGTCCAATGAAATATCCATGAAAGCTTTGGAACCAGGTGTGATGTTCTGCTCAGAAGGTGAGGACTTGATGTGAGTCACATGTTCACAGGTCAGTAAGTCCTTCTCAAATGAATATTAACCCACTGAGGTTGCTGGAGATCCTCCTGCTGCCTCCTGAGGTCTCAGCCCTTGCTTCTGTTCTCACCCAGGTCTCTTGATGGTGGAGGAAGGATCCCACAGAGGAGCAGCGGCTTCTCAGCCCTGTTCTTGACCCACTCTGACCCTCCCAGGGTCCGACAAAGCATTTGGGGTATGGACATGGCTTCTCAGCTTCTTCATCTCTGTGCTGGAGGATGAAGGCTGGTGAGGAACATGCCCCAGTTCTTCTTCTTTGTAAAGCCCCAGTGTCCCCTTGTCAACATCACTTACGTGCTGTCCCAGGACATCACAGTTCTCGTGAGAAGCAGTCTGGGGACATGTTTTCTTTTTGTTGGATGGGTTCTTTTGTTTGGCTGAATGTTAGCTGAAGCCAAGGGGACTGCGTGCTTAAGTCTGGAACAGAGAGATTAGCATCCCAGAAAGCCAGGACTGCATGGTGCTTATTGATTTTTTCTCTTAAATATAAGCAGTGTAGCCCAGAGTATCAGGCATCCAAGGAAGAGGAGACTGCAGAACTGATGTACTCCAGGTAATGAATAATCGTTAAAACTCCAAAGGAGTTTATTATTGTTACCATTAATTTGTTGTACTGCGCCCAGAGACATGGAAGGTGGAGACAGATGAGTTCATGACCTGCGTATTACAGGCTAGGTTTTAGCCTGGTAATATAAGAAAATCGATCATTTCTTAAGTGAGAAGACTGATAAAATCACTGACTTCAGAGGAGCAACATCATTGCTTTTATATGTTCAACAAACTCACTGGAATGGTGCCAGAGAAGGGTCAAATCCTTCTTCTGTATATCTTAAATTCAGGAGTTAGTTTGCCCTCTGTTTCCCAGAGGCAGGAGGGAAGCAGGTAACACCATCCAGCGTTCACACCTTCACTCATGGCAGGATTTCCCCTCCGTGATAACCTGCCCCTGTGCAGGTTGGACATTCCCTGTTCTATTTGTTGACTCCCTGAGGTTTTACATACCCTGAATTCATAATAAATTGCCAAAAGGGAAGGAAAGCCATAGGAAGACCCCTCCAACCAAAAAAAGGCTGGGTCAGAAGTCAGAGGTTTACTGTTGTTCCTTAAAGTGGTTTGGTCCAGGAGTAAAACACTGCCATGATGTGAGAACCCTGCTCTTCTTCACGGTCCCCAAATTACTTGAGCATGTTTTCTTGTACTTCACTGTGTTGTGGAAATGACTCAAGCAAGAGGACTCCTTCCTCTCCTGGAATCTAAACAGTAAAACTAGCTACAAACCACCCACAAAAAAAAAGTCTGTTGTAATTCGTGCAGACCACAAGGGAGGTGCAAACTGCTCTCTGCTTTTTGGGTTTTTATGCAGTGTATTTCCCAATTCTCACTAGAGGTGAACTAGGAAAGAAGTTGGGTTTGCTTTCTGCAGAAGTACTGCTTTTCCATTTGCAGATCTTTCTGTATTTCTTGGCTCAGAGCAGAAGGAACAAATATGAATGTATTCATGGCCCTTCCAACAGGACCTTTAGGGTGAGAAATGAAATCAGTCACTTTAATGGGTTGTCTGGGTAGAGGGATTTTACAACTCACTGTAGTCTTGCCTTTAATTCAACTAATTCCTATTTATACAGTACACAGTGCTGGTTTAGTCAATGCTCTGAGGAAAAGTCATTCCTGAGAGAGCCAGGAGCAGACCTGCTTTCTGGTGAATAACTTGAAAGTTGCAACTGTGATGTCTGTATTTTTTCCTGTAATTGCTGCAGCCTGTGACCCACTTTTTTGTGCTTGTACAGCTTAGAGAGCTGCATTTATTAGGTCACTCAAGAGCCAGCAATACAAACCAGAAAAAGGTGGACATTTCCAAAGAACTGAGAGAGGGCAGGGACCAACCAGCACTTTTCCTTTGGAAAAATAACCCACTAACCCTGGCTGCCCTGGCAAAACTGTGTCATAAATCTGGAGTAATCTTTGCTGACAAATGGCCTGGAAAGTGGGAAGGGAGAAGGCTCATGTTCTCATCAAGAAAGATGAGTTAATTCTTGGTTAAAGAAGACAGCAAGTGGAGACACTTCCAGCTGCATGGACATTGTCTTGACATCGCCTGTTAAATGGCTAACAATGACAGTTAGTATGAATTAGCCACAGAATATGTTTTATTGTATTTTGCTGTCTTCAGGGCAGACATGACAGAAACTTTTAAAGAGAATAAAAACATACAAGGGAAGGTCCCCATATAGGTTCATTTTGAATTTGTAATGTTTTTAATTAAGAATATTGC